AATGTTTCTACTGCCTGTGGAATCATCTCTTGCAGGTGAATGGGAGTGCTGTGGTGAGCAGGAGTGCCTTTCAGCAATGTTGCCAGAGTTGTTAGCTCATTTGATTGAGAACCAGATTTACATTCGGATTTTCACCATCCTGTCAGTCGCTTGACATGTTGTGTCCCAAACTGTATACTGTAAGTGCTGTGCTATTGTGGCTTAAAGTCACGAATGTGCAATTTAAACTTAATTTCCTAGTTAATGCATGAAACTATTTCTGTTGCAGTAATGTCTATTTGGTGCTAATCAATATGGCAATTTGAAAGGTGATCTTGCTGAGAATATCTGGTTTGCGCTAATCTACACAACGGTGAATATAATAAATGGGACGTCAAAAAACATTACAATTTGCTCAGTTATTTTGTAACTGTTTTCAACAACAACATGCATTTAAATAGCGGCCTTCACACAGGTAGTGTGTCAGGGCGCTTAACAGTGACGGAGTTTGATGCCGAGCCAGGGGATGGGGAGAAGGTGACCATAAGCACGGTCGAAGAGGAAGGTCTTTAGGCAAGATTTGAAAATGAGGAAGGAGGGATTGAGGGTGAGAGTTCCAAAGTATTGGGGTATAGTGGCTGAAAGCACGGATCCCGATGGTGGAGGGAATGAGGGCCAAGCCGGAAGCCGGAGCCAGCCAAGCAGAGGTGATAGAATGAGGAATAAGCGGGTAGGATAGGTAGGGAGGTGCCTGGGCATGAAGCAATTTGAAGACGAGTGTGACGGTCTTAAAGTATATACACCAATATAGTTCTGCTTTCCTTATGAGGAAGTTGGTTTTGATGCAAATTCAATCTGTATTCAATTGTATCTGTTTTGAAAGTGATTATAGTGCTCTTCATATCTTTGGATGTTCTTGACCTCACNAAAAAATGTATTATGCAGTTAATTCGGTTCTTGATTGTTGATAAATATAGTATCTAAATGCAGGTAGATCTGCACTCAATCTGTCCAAATCTGTTTCAACCTGCTAATCGATGAACATTAATGCCAATGTTTTAATATTTAGTTTGCCTTGTTTATAACTTGATAATGAACAATAAACTACACTAAACAGCCCTGCCTCAGTTAGTTCAGCTGGTTTGTGAAAAGATCTGTCAGACAATCTGGTTTTAATTTTATAACTGAACTAAATGTACCATATTCAATTTCTATTTCATATGCAGATAGTAAGATAATGTTCAGTAATTATTTAGCACCAATATTATTACTTTGAATAAACAGACTTCATGTGGTTATCATAACCACTGCCATAAGAAGATTGTTTTTAGTGTTAAAGACAGAGTACATGTACTATGTAAACCTCGTTTTCACAAATAGGATGTCAAACTTTTATAAGCTAGAATTCTTCAAACTGCCAATAAATATGTAAATTCGAATTATTGATGCTTGTTAAACTTATACTCGTGGAACATTGAACAATCATTTCCTTAGTTCTTGTTAGTATAATTAGTATAACACTACTTTCATATACTATCATATCGAATGACTTTTACTTTTAATGCTATTTGGATAAGATCAGTGTGCTCTGTTTTTAATCAGACTGCACTCGTTTTAGATAACAGTACAAAGTATCTGATTTGTTTTCCAATATCGAGTGTGTTTATGTTTTTTTCTTTTAAAAATGCTTTGTGGAGAACTGGTGATTGGGAAGGAAATTAACTAAACACAATAAAAGGTGCTGAGTGGATGCAGAGCTTAGCTGATGAGAGGAAGGGAATGTTAAAGGATCTGATATTTTGCCATCAAACTTATAGGGGTCTGATTGGAGTAGAACATTGACCTTTGCTTATGCCAAAAAGCAACAAGAGGTAGTTTTGTTCCAAAATGTAAGAGTTTGCTCTATAATCTGCTATTTTGCGTATTGGTTAGAGGGCACTCATCTGTCTTGCAAGCGAGTGGACCTGGGTTCGATTCCCAGCCAGGGCGAAACATTCGGCTACATGCCTCTGTTTACCTAGTAGTAGGTAAGAACCCAGTTGTTAGTCAATTGGCAGATGGATCACTTTCCCTCCAAAAAGATATATTTTTTAAAATTGGTCAATCAATCCACGACTATTGTGCGCAATTGGCTGCTACATTTCACCACAAAGTATTCGGTCAATTCAGTTTACAGTATATTTTGTGAAGCGCTTTGAGACATTTCAAAGACGTGATAAGGCGCTATGTCAAATGCAAGGATTATTATTATTTCAAATGTTTTATTCAGATGTATTGTACACCTGGGCCTGAAGTAGTTTTGTTGTTTTTTCTCATACAGTCATCAAGATAGATTTGGATTGAAAAATTACATTGCTGGACACCCTTTTCCAGCACTTGATTCAAATTAATTCACAACTCACTTAAGATGGTGTAATTTTTGTCAGTTCAGTGCTATCCTTCGAATACACCAGTGCTACAACAAAGATGTTTGCCAGCTGGGAACACTCCAAATGACTTGTGGCTCATTTATGTTTGGTTGTATATACTGTTGTTCTGTTTAGAAATTGCAACTACATTGTTTGTACTATTTTATAAAAAAGATTTCAGCTTTTATTGGCAAGGGGTTTTATGCAGTTAGCCTTAAACTGTGTCTCAATTGCCTTGAATTTTGTTCAACTCTATCTAGAGAATAAACGATGACTGAAAGTACAGGGCAATATAAAATTGAGTATTTTATTCAGTCACCAGAAAGTTTTGTCTGCAGGGAAGTTGTCTGATCCGTGTGCCTGTTGGGGTTTAGTTGGGGTTGTGCTGTACATCTGAAATGTCAGCCTAGACTTATAGTGTGTCAAATGCTTGTTTGCTGCACTCTTATCTGCAAAAGCTTGTGACTTCCTGAAGGAAATGATGCTTTGAAACTGTTACAAAAAATACATTGCATTGCATTTGTGAGGCTGCAAAAAAAAGGCATTTATAGTTCCTTTATCTATGAGGGTGACTTTTGCATTAAACTTGTCTTTGCCACTCGTGGGGTTGCTCACTGACAGTATTAGGCATTTGAAAGTTACCCATGAGTAGACTCTTTAGTCATGTCTCCTGCAAGCCAGTTGTTAACAGTGAGGTTAATTGGTACCTAGAAGAATGCATCATCTGTGTGGACGTGTTTGACACCAAAATTCTCTTAATTATTGTTGATGAGTGAGAATTAATGGATGGCATTAAACATCTGTTTCAACAAAACCTTACACGAGAATTCTTAAGTCTTTATCTTTCAAAATGCAAAATGGGATAGGTCAACCTCAAAACACACAAAATATATTCTGCACGTGTACAAGTTTTTCAAGTATTCTTAAGTAATGTTTCAACATGTAACTACTGAATAGACTGGAGTAGCTCATTATATTTTGACTTTCAATACTCCTTGTGATTTTATCTTATTTCAGATATCCACCTAAAGTATGAATACAGAGGCTAATATCATATCCTGTAATTACTGTGCAGTCTGATAAGCCTGCAAACTGAAAGTATCTTTCAAAATCTGACCTAGCACTTGAAAATATAAATATGGAGAAATTCTGCCAATCGAGTGAGAATTGCCTTCATCATGATGTGGTTTCTCTGTATGCCAATTGGTCATACAGCTTTTTTTAAAAAAAATTATAAAGTGCCCAAAAGTTTTTCGATAATGAAAACATTTGACTTTTTTTCTGCCTTAAATACCACCACGTTTCCTCATGTGGATGAGATGGTCATGATTTGCTTTTATGTCCATTTATCCCACTCCATCATGACTACCATGTTCTTTTGTTTACACTCCTCATGACTAAATATCCCAGCAGACAAGGCTAAGTCTACCCTAGCTATAAGGATTTGTCATATCTGGCTACTGGTCAGACAGTCTCCATAGAATTGCCCAAACTAACACTGCAGTACAATGCTGAGAGACTGCTGTATTGTCAGAGATCCTGTCCTTCCAATGAGACATAAGAGACTATCCTCCTGGGGTGGTAGGTAAACCTTGGCGCTGAATATCTGTAAATTTCCCGGGTATTTTTGAGATTGAGCTGAGAATGTTACAGTTTTTCTTGCTCTCCAACATAACAAGAGAACGATTGATGGAAATCAGATGTAAGAAAAATGAAACCAGCCAACATAAAAATGGTAACGGATTGTCAGAATCGAGTCAGCCCTCTGCGGCGGTCTCGGTAGTCTGGTTCCTGAGCCAGGCAGGTCCGCAGTATTCCAGGGCACTGCTGATGACAGCACAGCCAGCCTGGCTCATCAACAGGACCTGGAAGGGCTGACCAGTCACTGGGGGCAGGGGATCATGGTTTGGGTTTGGATAGTCTTTGGTGATAGGGTTTGGTGGGTTTCATCGTGTGTCAAACACACGGTTGACCCCCCCCCCCCCAAAAACGAGACATTAAACCAAAATATTAATTGGTAAATTCTCATTTTCTTTGCGGTCGGAGCCAAGACTATGTAGTTTCAGTGCAGATGGGCACAGATGATTGACTCGATGATGCACTTCAAAGATTGTGCTTTATTACATTTAGGTTGGTGAACCACTTCTATTGGGGATTGAAAGCTTTCTGGTTGGTTATAATAAAAACTGCAAAGGCATTTTTATGCTGTCTGGTTTCATTATCAGTTTTCTTACATGTGTGATTTCCACCAATCTTTCTCTCGTGATGTTGGAGAGAAAGAAAAACTATAACAACGTTCTTAGCCCAATCAGCATGACTGTGTCATTTATAAGCTGGTATTTTTGCTTTTCATTGCACCCAGGAACAAATAGAAAGTAGCTTGGAAATGCAGGAGCAGGGACTATGGGATGGAGTTCCAGTGGGTGGAGGCAGAAAGGCTGAAGGCCCGATCGCCAATGATGGGGCCGGTGGTGCGGAGAACATGGAGCAGGCCAGAGCCTGCTGAGCGGAGGGAGCAGAGAGGTCGATATGGAGTTAGGAATGAAAGTGCTGATTCTCGTGTGAAGGTTTAAGTTAAAATGCAACTGTATAGATTTTCGGAAAAACTTTATTGTTTTTTGTTTCTTGCAGATCAATGAGTTGAGTCACGTGCAGATTCCAGTAATGTTGATGCCGGATGACTTCAAAGCCTATAGCAAAATAAAGATGGACAACCATCTTTTCAATAAGTAAGTTTCATACCTTATGTTTCTTTCTCTGTCTTTCTCATTTAACAATGTTCTGTAAAGTAATTAAGATGTGCGGGTAACCGTTGACTAAAATGCTGTACGTTGAGATCCATATCCTTCATTGTGATTCTAACTACAATAATGGTATGCCTTGAATCATCCTTCATTCTTTTGCCTTTACAAAGAGGGAGAGCCAGGAGAGGGCTTCAACTTTCCTTGCTGGTGTCCCTGATAGACTGCTGAGGTCTGAAATCCCCGAAGGGAAAATCATTGATGTCAACCTGTCATTCAGTGAAATAGTACATCAAAGATCACCGTTCTGCCTTAAGCAATCTTCATGTACGTTAATCTGGCTATTCAGTTCTTACATTGATTTTTTTACGTTGGGACATCTGTTATAATTGACATTCGGTCTCATGCATGAAAATTCTACCAATTTATTCAGAATAAAATATTTTGTTTCATTTGCAAGTGCTTGTATCCTCCGGGTCTGGCCTCCTCCTCGTCCCCCGAGTCCTCCGCTCCACCCTCGGCGGCCGTGCTTTCAGCCACTATGCTGAGGGGCTTTGGAATTCCCTTCCTCACTCCCTTCGCCTCGTCCCCTCTCTTCCTATTTTCAGGTCTCTGCTGAAGTCCTTTCTCTTCGACAACGCCTTTGGTCACCTTCCTCCCCCTCCCCCTGGCTTGGCCCTGGGATCCATTACTGTGAAGCGCTCTGAGACGCCGTCCGGCATGGAGGGCACTATATAAATCCAATTTGTTGTTGTTGTATCATAGTTGGTATCATTTCATATAAATACTTTTCTGATTTACTTGCATCAGCTGAATAAAAAGCTTATATTTTGTCATAGAACTTACATGTATCTGTCTAAAATTCTGCAATAACTTAGGTCTGTGTTTGCGCCTACAAAATATGACTTCTTCCATCTGGCCCTGCAAAGCATTTCACTGAGTTTTCACATTTCAGCTAATACCTGCTTATAGGACAATGTTACTCTACAGGGGTATTTTTGTCTTCCAAGACCTTGACCTCTCACCATCTTGATATTATATCATTCCCAGATTAGGACTCAGCTATAAATTTCGATCCAAAATATTCCTGTAAAATTTCACTGAACACCAATCTCTAACCTCTGTTTTGTACTCCAAACTCTATAGATCATTTTTATTGCCTCAAACTCAACCCAGTTGTTGCATGTCGATAAGAATCTGTCTTCCAATATTGATATCCATAGTTCAAGCTCCTTATGTCCATCTGGGCTTAAATCCTGCAATTATATTGTGCTGGAAAACATTTCTTACTTGCTTGTATCCTCCGGATCTGGCCTCCTCCTCGTCCCCTGAGTCCTCCGCTGAAGACTATTGTAAATTGACCCAAATGTCCATCTATTTCTATGGGTCCTGTTATTGTAGAAGGGATCGGGTAGACATTTTGTAAAAATCTGTTCCAGGCACCAGCTCTCCAGGAAACTTGTCTCTTCTAAACTAATCCATTTTGTCCGTTGACTGCACCTCTTTGGTTAGAAAATGCTAAATAGAATGAATAATAATAATAGTCCTTGCATTTGATATATCGTCTTATCACACTGTTGAGACATCTAAAAGCGATTCACTGTAAAGTGACTGTATTTTGTGTATTTTTCAAATGTTGCACATCTGAACGTTACACTTGCCCAGTTTGCAGATTATTAAAACCCTACATAAAGTGCAGCTGTGCACTGGATTTATGATAGAAGTTTATGCATCAGTTATTCTTTGGATGTATAGATAGTTTTAGCTATTCACTGTCAGGAAAGGACCACTCCTGTGATCTAATATTTTGCTCAATAAAGTCCCACAAAAGGTCCATGAGATGAATGACCAATTGATCTGGACACCGTTATTCAAGTATCAGTAAAGGTATAAGCCATGACTTGCCCAAATGATCTCTGGAATGAAAACTAGGAGGAAAATCTCAGACTTGAACAAGTGAGGCGGAGGTTGCTTAAAGGAGATTTCTGGGGTAGTGCTGACTGAGTCTGAGTATGGAATGGGAGTGAATAAATACTCCCTTGATACATTTCTTGATGAGATTCTCACTATAAACTTTTTTTTCCATCATTATGTTCAATTAAATTAAGTTTTGTAGATCATTCTTAAATACTTCCTCAAGCTTCACTGAAAAAATAATATGCACATCTCTTCACACTGTTTATTACTGGACAAATGAGGTGCTGAAAGTTCTAATGTCTACCTGTCAGCATCCTTCAACACTTGTGCTTTATTTTGCCCACAGACTAAATGTGGAAAAGGAATGGGAAAAGCTGATTTGGCAATGAATCCCTAAATACGAGCCAAGACAGGGTGACTAAATTGGAGCGTGGCTCCAGGCATCACCTGGAGCTGATGCTTTCAACAGGAGCCCCCGTGTACTCCGCAGTACAGCTATGGCAGTGCCAATCAAACTGGGATTGCTCCACTGTGATTAGTTTGAAGCTCTCGGGTGGGCTGCTAAACCGTCCGGGAACAAGTTTTCTTTTAAATATTAAAAAAAACTAATTGAGAGCTATAACATTAAATAGTTTGTGTGCTGTACATTTGTACAGCACAAAACTGATTGAGAGCTATAACATTAAATAGTTTGTGTGCTGTAGATTTGCCAAGTACTGTATTCCCAGAATAGACTATATCAGAGTAGATAATAGTGGTGGAATGATTCAAAGTATTCTTTTCATTCATTATCTATCACTGGTAATCCTTTTTGTGTGTTTTTTAAATCGGGTATATGGTAGAGAGCCCGCTATCCTTGGGGATTAATCGTAACCAACGCAATTCTGGATATGAACACAGAGAAGATATTGAATTGGTGCATTTCTCCTTCCTTGTTCTCTCTCACTTTTTATGACTTTTTAGTTGTATGTGCATGTGAGAGAGAGAGAGTCTTTATTCATGTACTTGCCTGAATCAGATCTCGCTTCCTCATGCAGCTTGGGAACAAAATGTGAACCTAGTAACCATGAACGAAAGTAATTTTTTTGCTGACATTGCTTCACTTCTAATAGATATGGCTATTAGTATGTGGCTTCACAGCATTTTACTGTAGCTGATGTTGAATATAGTTCATTGTAAAGGTCAGGAATAAATCCATTGTCTATTAATTTATATACAGGAGAGTTCAGCACACATTACAGTCATTGAACTCTCACAATCAGGGTTGTTATTTGGAGGCCTTAGTTTTTATTGCCCAAAACTGCTACGGTTCTTAGCAGGTTTCAAGACATTATTGTGCACAACCAGAAGGCCATCCATTTAATTTTGATGATCACTAAAGTGACAATATTGCTTCTTCTTACTTTGCTAAAACATTTCAGCTTAAGCATTAAAGTACAATAGGTGCAGTGCAGTCATCGCCATTTGTCTGAGGATAAGCAGCTGTCTTCCTTCTTGTGCTTGTTTTCCAGCAAATCATCTTATACAGTATGTGGCAGATTTGTTCCATGATTGTAATATGTTGTTGGTCAGTTGTGCAAATCCCAACATTTTGAGCTACATCATCTATCGTGTTTCCTGGTGGTTTTAATTTGCTTACATGGCTTAAAAACGAAAAGAGGTTTTTCAGCAAGTAGAAATTTGTTCAGCATCCTGTTGAAAGCAATGGAAGAGTTCTGCTTTCTTGGGCATGTTTGCATGACTAGTGTTTCCATTGTCCTCTTTAGTATGCATGACTTTCCAGTGCTGTCATGTATTTCTCTTTGGAGGAACAAAATGGTCAATGTTGCCTGTTTAACATAGGCATCTGTCACTGACCAGGCAGCAGTCTCCAGTTTCTGGACAGTCTTACAAACAGTGCACATTCTGTTGCCTTTCTAAATTTGGTTGAAGTTTTGCAAGCGATTGGAATAAATTCTTGAAAGACACAAATTCTTGATGTCACTGTATAGGACTTTGCTGAATACAGTAATTCCAATTTGGTTCCTCTGGCTTTGTAGGATTAAAACGTGTCTATAGCTGGTCATATATCCAGTATGTTTAATTCATTTTGAGCAGTTACATATTTACATACTAGTGTTTTTTTTAAACACAGCTGTCTTTGTGTGCAGTTTGAAAAACAGTGAAACAATTTCCTCCACAGGCTGCGTGATGGGGGCCTTGAAGCTTTACTTGCTGCATAAATCTGCCAAATGGTTGACAAACCATAATGGCTAATATATTAATATACTAAAGTGCCTGGTATATAAATAATATGTATATATAATAATCAATATGCATCGATTAGGACTGGACATTGTAGTTACATTTTTGGCTACATTATGTGAAATTAAGAGAAGCTGGATTTCTAAATTAGATGTCTTTTTTTTAGATAAAACTGGCTTTTCTAGTTCCAGACACCTACCTAGTTCCCAAATCAATCTTTCTGTGGTTCTTCAAAGAATTCAGCAATATTCTAAGAAGCTTTTTATCTCCCGTGGCAGTGCTTTGATTGGTATACACGCAGAATGGTATCTGACATCTCTGGCAACGCATCGTGCTTTGGTTTCTGCACGGCTGTTTTCTATTCGTTGCAGGAGCCACACACACAAAAAAAACCCTGATGAAGCCAATGATGTGCTTTCTCAAGAAAATGGCAGGTTGCTAACGTGTACAAAAACTACTTCTGCCTCAATCAGCTTTATCTTCATCTGCACTTCAAAGAACTCAAGACGTTGTCCTCCCTGCAGCAATTTTGTTGTACTGTATTCTGTTTGAGCTATAGTGTCGCTAAATGTCATACTATCCTCTAGTGGATGGTAAAAGCACAGCTACAGATTTTATAAAATCCATCTGCCAATCCTTGTTTTGTCTGTAACTCATCTGAATGAAGATATACTGATAACCTCAAAAGATCCATATTTTGGACCTATTTTGTGACGAATAATAGTTATAACCACCAACCCTTCAGTCTTCATTATTTCTTTATCTGTGTGAACAAGTTTGTAGCGGGGGCTAGCACACTGTGTACAGGTGTGTAGCGGGGGCTAGCA